GTAAAAGACGTTACAGATATTTATGAGGAATATCCTAAAGTGATCGATTGTACGCATAATATGCGGGAAATAACTGTACTAAAGTCGGTGTTGTATTATGTATTATGGTTTGGGTTGACTTGGCTGTGCAGTTGAACAACCCGAAGTAGTTGTTACACGTTACGCAAGATAAAAAATGTAATAAGTCGGTAAATTGACGTTTCATTTATTCAGCTTTGATGCGAGTTTACGTTGTACCATATGTTGTGAAACTATTTATACAAAGTAGCGTACAGGTGCATATAGATTTGGCACAACGAGTTAACGAGATTTTGTGGCTGACGTTGAGATGCATAAATGAGAATACTTACGATTATTATATTTTATTGAAAGCAAAATGTATACTCGTTTATAGTCTGTTTTTTAAAAACTATTCTTTAATCGTTATCGAAATGTTTATAAACAATTTATTTTTACTCAAAATAAAGAGAGTTTATCAATTTAAAAAAAAAAAAAAAAAATTTTAATGCGTAAAAACTTTTTCTCGGTTGATTTTTTTTTGTTTTTACTTAATTTACAATGACATAAGGGAAATTGCTATTAAAATTTTGTAATGATCGTATAACGATAATTAAGTTTTAAATGTATATTTAAAGGCAAAATTAATACTTTAATTACTCTATAGATAATGAACCGTTCGCAGATACGCAACGCTGGGGGCTAATACGATATATACATTATGTGTACGTGACAATTGAATCATCATTAAATTTAATTTTCAATTGTGTATTCTTTGTATTTCAACTTTACTGTCTGTTTAAATATACGAGTATAATATAAACGTGAAATATTGAAGTGAGGATTCGTAAAAAATAATTTGTTGTACCTCGTGTGTCTACTTGAAAAGAATTGATGTATTCTAAGATATAAAGTGTTTAAATATTTGCATTTTAGCATAACACCTGTAAAAATTTACTTGCTCTAATTTCTAACTTTTTTTTTTTTTTAATTACGATTCTATTTATTTTCACACGAAAAATAGCAATTACTTTTATGTCTAATAAGATGTCGACGGTTCAGTGAAAGAATGAATTGTTTTGAATTTGCCAGCGAAAACAGCTATTTCAAATTACTCGGGTTAAACCCACTTGTTTCAATGTCACTAGAAAAACATCTTTTAGTAGGAAAAAAAGAAAAAAATTTTCGTCATCAACAGTTATCGCTTAGTCAGCCAATGTACAGACCAACATATTTTTCTATGGATAATACAAGAAACGCTGCTGACACTGCAAAGTCAAATAAAAAACCGTGATAGAAATAGCTCATTTTTTTTCAACGATCGATTGATGTTTGCTCTGAGCTAATAGTCGGAGGAGGTGACAACAAAAAGATTCTAGTGTACAGTGCGAAACAAAAATTGTACCTCCTCGATGTATATATACTCAGCTGATTATCTCAAACTTAATACTTGTGTAACTAACGGTGAGAAACGACAAAGTTAAACATGATCTGTTTCGATTCATTAATTTTTGTAAAGGTATCCTGTGTGATGAGGTGTGGTTGCTGAGGAGCCTTGAGTAAAAATTTAAAAAAATCCATTGGGCAGTGAATGAAATGTTTCCTACATCTATTTCCAGTTTTTGAATTTAAATTTAATTAATGCAACATGACCACCCAAACTCTGTGTAGTAGGCGAACAAAATTGACGCATTTTTTGCACTTAAAAATTTTTTTATGAAAAGGTTTAAATTTAGGTTTTAAAAAAATTTCTGAACATTCTCAACATTTTTTGTACTCAAATTAAAATCATAAAACTTTTTTAAATACAGCAAAATAAATATTTTGACATTATTTATATAAATTACTAAAAAACAATCCTGATGATGTAGCAAACACTTGTTATTAAATTACTTAAGAATGCATTTTTGTTATGACTTACACGCAGTCAAGACGGAAAATTCATATTTCAATTAAATTGCATTAAAAAAAAGGTATCTCGCGTATTCACGCATTTGTATGCATGTAGAAAAGCTTGACGTAAAAGAAAAATTTTGAATTTCAATTTTAAAAAACTAGGGTCGGCTCGTGCTTTAGAAAAAATTCCAATAAATTCACTTTGCATGCAGCAAACCCCAGAGTGCTCCGACTACATTCGAGTTTAAGAATAAAAATTCACAACGAACGGTGACATCAGTTTATACATCGATAAACGACTTTTTCGAAAATGCTTTTTTCCACTTCTCTGTAAAATACCAATGCAAGCGTTTACTTTATCATCGATACGAAAAATACACTGCCCAACCCCGACATTCGCGCTTCAGCTCGTTAATCCTTGAAATGATCAAGTAAGTATCTCGGCGAGGAGTAAAAAAATAAACTCGTATACATCTCCACTGACGGCAACCAGTTACCGAAATAAGTAGGCACTTGTTATCAAATAGTCGGTACACACAAGTATATATATGTGTGCAAGCACTGGAAGCGATAAGGCACAAATATAAATATTTACTTTTGGAACTGTGCTCGATAAAGCACCGTCTATAAATAGCCTTGAGATCCCGGTGCTTGTGTACTCTCCTAGTGTAAATTTCAGTTTGGGTCACGGGAGCAAAAACGAGTTCATCTCGAAGTAGAGCAGCGAAATTTCCTCTCGGGTTTTCAAATCACGTTACGTTTTCATCAAATCAAATATTTATACTGTCGTATGAATACACAGGATCACGATCGAATGCGCATTATGAAGTTGTAAGCGCTAAGTGCACTAAATATGTATACACGCGGGGAGAAAAGAGAAGGAAGGGGAGTCAAAGCGAAAGATATATAGGGGGAGGGGCAGATGATACCACATGCATATACCAAGGATTTGAGATGTGATTTAGTGTACGGCTCTCTGATTGCGTCTCGCGTTTTTTTCCCCGACAAAGCCTCGAAAATATTGATTTAACGACGCTAAAAATAATGAAAAGTGACATCATGCGCCGGGCTTGGGTGATACTCGAGTCTTATGGATAACGATAGCTACTAGTTACAATTGTTTAGCTGATATTTTTTTACTTTAAATTCGACGAGTAATGAAACTCTGTCGAGCTAATTTTTAGTCACAGAAAGACGCATTTTTTTTTTTTTTTTTTGTGCACCGAGGTGTGTTGGACAACGTCAGCAAATAATCGGGAAAACTTTTTCAACCACAACCACCCCTCCGAATAAATGAAAAATCATACAAAAAATTTTACAGAATTATTTGTAGACGTTGCTTTGACCCGACTAAATAGTATATTAACATAGTGACGCTTCTCGCCGCAGTCACTAACTAGTTCGCGTTATAATATTATTAGAACGAATTTTTGATAAATAAAAATGACCCTTAACTCTTTGGACGCGCTCTGCGATGAAGCAGTTTATTAGTTTTTACTTGATAATATCTTGATAAGTATATATATATTTGCATCATATTGAAATTAGTGGCATAGGTCATTCTTTGTTTTATCAGATAAGCTTAATCTACCAATAATTAAGGACGATAACGATAGTTACAATATAACGGACAAAGGAACCATTATGATTATTGCGCCAACTGAATTTTGGCAAACGATTGTTCGAAAGTTCGAGGTCTGGGATCTGGAGGCTTCCTTACTCGCTCCCGACGCGAGTACATAAAATTTTCCGCTACTCATCGGCCGTAGGAAGTGGAATTTGATAACCTTTGATCGAGTAGCGTGAGAAATCTAGTGGATAAATTTTAATTGAGAAGAAAATTAAGAAAAGTTCGTTATTGATGCAGCGTTATATTGCGCACGGAATAAGAGTAAAAAAGTAAACACAAGGACGATAATGTAAAATGTGTCGTCTCTAAAAAAAACCAGCTCATCTACTGTACGCCCGAGCGTACAATGATAAATATATGTATATATATATTTTTTCAAACATTAGACTAGCCTTCATAAAACCGTGAGATAAAAAAAATCGCTCAGAGCGATTTTCGATACACGACTCGCGAGTCGTGACAAGATAAGCTAAAAAAGAATTTAAAAAAAATTCCTTTTCCGAAAAGCTAATCAAATATTTTTCTGGAATCGTCATCGATTCAACAACGCCATCACAAGCGTTTATTATATCTTTGCCTCCAGGTGTCGCAGGAGAGCACTTTTCTCCTCCCCCTTTTAATATTTGCCTTCGGAAGTAGTCGTTTTTGTTTCAACGGTTCGTACACCCGAGAGGGCGAAAGACTTTTTCAACGATTTTCGGATTTCAAGGCTTACCCCACTCGTGATTGCCTTTCGATTCCGATCGCAAGCCAAAGCGTACCTCGTTATTTTTAGTAAATAGGCCTCAATTTATTCCAAGAAAGGGTCACAAGTACATGTTCTTCCTATACAACGAAATCATAGGCGTCACGATCGCGCGTCCAAACATAGATCAAATGGTATATCATCGTTACCTTGCGCATTTCTCCCTAGTCGATTCATCAAATCGGTAGGCGTGCCTACAACCGATTTTTCCTACCGAACGAAAAAACAAAACAAAAAAAATTTATAACGCCCGTCCATCGTGATAGCCAATAGACGCTGGACGTGGCCCCGACGCTCGTGGCGCGTCGCAAGCGCTCGCGGCAGCGCTCACGGGCGCAATGAGGATCCGCGCGAGCGCAACGGAGCTTTTATACCCGAACGTCGCACGCTCCGCTTGACGGCGCCCAACGCGTATATATATACAATAGAGCTCCGCGGAACAAATTCCGAGCCAAACCCCTTATCTCTCGCTCTCTGTTTTTCCATCCACTTCGTTGATAAGAGAAGCATGTAGGGTATGTAATTTTCGAAAAAGAGGTAGGCGGCCGACGTCGCTCGTACACACGCACACACGGACTTACGTACGTACGTTGTAGGTATATAGTAGTACCGACGATCTCGTCACACCGCCACATAAGTACATGTACGAAGTAAACTCGTGAATCAATTTTTCCTTTCTTTCTTTATTCATTCAAACAATCGGGAGGTGGAAGCCAAAGATAACGGACCAACCTCCAGTGGAGTAGGCGTTACGGCGCTCCTTGACGCTGCTCTCCTCGGCGACGATCTCCACCATGGCTGCACCGCTTCGACCTTGATCTTCTTCTTCTTCTTCTTCTTCTTCTTCTTGTTCTCTGTGCTTTTTCTCGCGTTTACGATGATGCCGATGACGGTGTCGAGGAGGGGCCGCCGGTCATACGCGTCGATACTGCCGCAGCCGCTTCGTCACGGATGTATTATCGGTATCGTAACCGTTATGCACGTGGAAAGGAACAACACTCTGGGTGTCGGGTAACGACGACTTGGGGAGCCGGATTTTTATGCAGAGCGGCCGGCTGTCCACTCTGCTGATCGACATTATGACAATAGGCTATATGTATACGGCTCCTCTCTCTCTCTCTCTCTCTCTTACAGCACTTGGTGAACGGGCGCGTCACTCGCGAAATTTTTCACGGGGCATCACTGGCGACGCACTTCCCGACAATCACGATGTTGTACTTGTTAAACACACGGCCAATGATTCACTCTCTTGACGATCACGTGCTCGAGGGTTGCTGTGTTACGTCTAGACTTTTACTCGAGCGATGCTTTATAAATGTATATACATATATACACGCGACTCGCGTTTAGTCAGCATCAGGCGCCTCTCTCTCTCTTGTCGAGGGCTCCAGTGTCTCCTTATCCGCTTCTCGGACCGGCGTCGTACCGCGAACCGAGCGACTCGATATCCGTTAGACGATGGGCCTGTGCTTGCCCAAAGACTCGACCAAAACGGGGGGTGACGGGCACGCACCGTAAGTACAAACGACGCGGCAAAATTCCTCCTCTTCTTCAACGAACGTACGATGCACCACGTAAGTAAAGTATACAATCGTGACAATCATCCGGCGCGTTTCGGCAAGCTCTATATATACACGTGAGCGTTACGAAAGAAGCGGCTCTCTCTGCCCCTCCTCGGATGCTTTTTTTCGCCTAGGGGCACTTTTTCAAGCGATAGGACGGTATATCTCGGAGCTGTTATAACTGCTGCCAACTGCCGGCACTGGTGCTATCGTGTCCACGTGTGCGTGTGCCGCGGTATCGCCTCCGGGAGAATACAATAGAAGAAATAATCACTCGACAGTTAAAACTATAGAGCAGCGGCGACGATGACGCGCGTCTATACTTGTACACGTATTGCGATCAGCCCAATGAGAAGGCAGAGAGCGGGGTGGGGGCGGCTTATCGCGCGGAGTCCGATGTATCGACTGCTCGTGTGTATATACACTACGCCGATATAATATACACTTCGGCACTACTTGACGATTATAACGGCCGCGTTGTCGTGGTAAAGCTCAGTGTATCGGTCCGCGGGACTGCTGCGATGACGGTGATGATCGATGGCCCATCTAATGCGAAGCTTGTCGTTAGTCTTTTTCTCTCTCACGATTACGTATATACATATACATATATGTACACCTAACGATACATCATCTCAAAGTCCGATTGGTCGTGCATGATACGTATACACCTATACTGTGTACGGAGAGACGGCGAACATTAAACGGCGGTAAAACCGGTCGTGCCGATCGATCGGCGAATCAACAATAATTTCACCAGCGGTAGCGTAAACAGCAAACGTTGCACTGCAACGACGATCTATCGAGTGTACATGTATGTTTATGTACATATACCGATAATCACCCGCACCCCGTCGAGCGCACGTGACATCAAAGGCAGTTGGTGGGGGGGAGGTGGGGTACTTTATGTATACAGAGAGAAAAATATTGGGTCGACGGCGCGCCTGGCTTCGCGAGAGAGAGAGACGCGCTCCGGGCCGAGTCTGGCGCGCGAATGAGCTTCGGAGCTTCCGAGGGAGAGCCTCGCGATATCGCTGCGGATGTATATATACACATGTACACGATAAGCGGGCGAGGGGGCCGAAGGAGGTGCACGCGCGCGACAGATATACATATACAAGACGTATATAAATATACACGAGTGCTCGTGTGCTCAAGTGTAGCCGCGCCACGTGGTGGTCAAAGGTCGAGTCGGGGGGAGGAGGTGGCGGCTCCCTACTACCCCGCGGTAGAGAGACTTTGTTGCGCGCGCCTGCCTCTGTCATATCGTTGTGGCGATGATTATCTATCTGCAGTGTAGGTTGCATCATCGCTCCTTCCTCGTTTCACGCGGTGTACCCTATCAGCGGTGAATATTTATACGGACATACGAGTGATGCGCGACGGAGGGATATATATATACAGCGAGCTTGCAGCGCGGATGCAACTGTATGTACCGTTTACTCTGCGTGTGCTTGGGTATATACATATAATGATAATGTAGCTGCATCGATTTTTCAAAGGGCTGAACGGATTTTCGGGGATTATGTATATTATATATGTATATTGAGTGATGCGTGTGTACACAGTCACGCATGTGTACCCGAAGCTCGTCCGGCCATGGAGTGGATCTCGGGGAAAATTGGGACTATACTTGGGGTAGTCGAGGACACTTGTTTTAGTCACTATGGGTGTATAATATAGGAATATCAATGATCGTGTGAAACTTTTTTTTTTTTTTTTTA